GGAGCTGCCCCTCCCGGCCTGGAGCGCCCTTCAGGGGGCTCCTCAGGGACTTCATAGCTCTGCCTTGCTCCAGCTGCTGGTCTGGTATGCTCCCTTCTTGGTTCACTCCGCTGTGGGGGGTTCAGACCGCACTGCCTCCCCATGTGACCCCAGAAATGTCCTCTGTTGCAGTCTGCTCCAGTAAGGGGAAAGCATGGAATGAGCTGTTGTCAGCCACCCAGTCCCTTCTGTGTCCCATTAGCTCCCTGCAGGGACATCATCCCCTGGGCCTGGTGTGCCAGTGTGGGGTCCAGTCCAGCTCACTCTTTCTCTTCCTCCCTCCCGATCCTCTTCCGTGTGGGTGTGGCATGCTGGCCCCTCTCCACAACTAGTAGGTTCAGTGCTGCTCTCCACCACACCCACTCCCAGGAGGGGGTCCGTCTGGCTCTGGTTGGGGCCAGCCCTGTAACTCTCTCTTTTCATGCATTCTTCCATGTGGCCACATTGTCCTCATGATTTGGTGCACTGTGGTAGGGTGTGCATGCCCACTCCTGATTCTGTGGAGACAAGACCAATACTCTCCCCCTTCTTATTGCAAACAACAGCACCACGATTATTTTTGTGTGTCTTCTGAGCCACACACTAACTCCTTTGGTTCCAGATCCCTAACCCAATGTGCTACAACTCCCTTTGCCATTTTTGTAAAAAACACACCACACATTTCTTTCTGCACCTCAGGTAACTGGCAGTAGTTGCTAGGGACCGCTGGGAAGCATTATAGCTCTTGGAGTTAGTGTTGTGAGAACACACGGCTTCAAACTGCTCTTGTGATTTTCCTTCACCGTTGCTTTTAGGTGCAGTCTAGATAGTTCCAAAAGGCAGTGACCAGAGAGACAACAGAATGAAACACTGCCGGGTCTCGCATCCTCCTCGTAATTATTGTTATGGTTGGGGCCATCCATGGTCACAGGTCAATCCATCTTGTTGAGAGTCTTCCTCTTTTTTTTAGGCCTTATCCTATTGGAGTGTGGGTGTTAGATTATTACTAGATAGCATTGGCAGATAGAATATACCGGCATGAAGCAGGAAACCAGAAGAGAGGTCTGAGGGGCCGGCCCCAATCCCACCTATGTGGACAGCCACCCTCCCCCAAGAAGAATTTACTTCAGAGGACAGCCCTGAAGCTACAGCTCAGGGAGAAGGACATGTTTGATCAGAGACCATGGGAGCAAATGAAGGGGGAGGAAGAGAGAGTGGGGCACATCCTGCCCCACCAAGCCTTGAGGATGATATCCTTGCTCAGAGCAGCCAATGTACAGAGAGGACAATATGGCTGGCCCCATTATGAGACACGACATTCCTCACTGAACCATAGCCCTATGGGGGACTACACTGGAGACACAGTCTGGGAATTGTGCCTGATCTTACCCTACCACGCTGAGGCAAAACACTAAGGGTGTGCAACAGAACAGCAAGGGGAACAGAGCAAGGAAGTCCCCAGGGAATACAAAAAATAGACTTTGGGGCCAGGGTGAGGCACCCCATCAGACTCGACGGGAAAATACTCCTAAAGGTCAACAAACATGTCTTGAACTGTTGGTTTGTTTGTTTGTTTTTTACAGGCTTTTATTTTTTTGTCATTGGTTTGTTATTGTTGTTGTTTTGCTTTCTTTTTGTTGCTTTGTTTTTCTCTGTCTGATTTTTATGCATATTATTATCTGTGCAGGTCTATCTAAATAAGATAGGCTGGATAAACAATCTGGGGAAAAAACAACAGGAGCAACAGTTCTGAGAGGAGAGAAGGTGGTGTTAACAAACCCAGGGACAAGGGGAGAACAAGTGATTAAAAATTGGTGGAGAGAAGGGTGTTGGAGGCCTGGTAGGGCTTGATCAAGGGCAATGTAACCGAGAGGAATTACTGAACCCCAAATGAAGGCTGAGCATGATAGTGGGACAATAGGAAAGTAAAAGGAAATAGAGGAAAGAATTATGAGGCAAAGGGCATTGATAGAGGTCTAAATACAGGCATGTACATATGTAAATATATTTATATATGATGATGGGGGAATAGATCTATGTGCGTATATTTATAGGTTTAGTATTAAGGTAGCAGATGGACATTGGGCCTCCACACAAGTACTCCCTCAATGCAAAAACACTTTGTTCTATTAAACTAGCATTCCATGATGCTCACCTTTCCGACACAACTGCTGAAGACAAAGCAGGTGTATAAGCAAATGTGGTAATGAAAGTTGATGGTGCCCAGCTATCAAAAGATAGAGCAGCTGGGGTGTTAAAGGCTTGAAGATAAACAAGCAGCCATCTATCTCAGAAGCAACAAAGCCCACATGGAAGCAGCACGCCAGCCTGTGCGATCACGAGGTGTCTAAGGGATCAGGGATCAGGCATCAAAGAACAAAAAATCATATCATTGTGATTGAGGAGTGCGAAGTGAAGACCCAAAGCCCATCTGTAGACAACTGGATATCCCCTTGCACAGGGTCCCAGGGAGGAGATGAACCATGGTGCAGAGTAGCAACGATGAAACATACAAGTTTCCTCTAGTTCCTAAATGCTTCCTCCCCACAAATATCATCCCAATTCTACCTTACAAATCTGGCTAGACCAGAGGATGTACACTGGTACAGATAGGAACTGGAAACAGGAAATCCAGGACAGATGAACCCTTCAGGACCAGTGGTGAGAGTGGCAATACTGGGAGGGTGGAGGGAAAGTGGGGTAGAAAGGGGGAACCGATTACAAGGATCTACATATATTATGACCCCCTCCCTGGGGGATGGACAACAGAAAAGTGGTCGAAGGGAGACCTTGGAAAGGGCAAGATATGACAAAATAATAATAATTTATAAATTATCAAGGGTTTGTGAGGGAGGGGGCGGAGCGGGAGGGGAAAAATGAGGAGCTGATACCAAGGGCTCAAGTAGAAAGCACATGTTTTGAGGATGGCAACAGATGTACAAATATGCTTGACACAATGGATGGATGGATGGATGGATTGTGATAAGAGTTGTTTGAGCCCCCAATAAAATTATTTAAAAAAAAAGAATTGGCAAATAGTTGGCCAGCTGTGCTAATTAAGTATTTGTGTACAGTAAGAGATGGTTATATTTAAATGTAACAGTGGGCCTGGCCTACTAACAGCTTTAATATTAAATTAGTGATCAACTTTAAGTACTTATTAAAAACTGTGATATGTTATAAAATACGGTGATTGTTTTTATTGACAGAATCGTATTGTCAATAACTTTGTGGTTATAAAATTGCAGTCTGAAGTGATTTTTTTCCAACTTGTGAAACTCCTCCTGGATCCCCGGTATTCTCAGACGTCGTTGAGCATTGGTCTTGAGTGTGCAGATGACATGCTAAGTTTTTAAATGAGTCTTCCTTCTCATAGCTTCCTACCTTTTTCTAATAATTGGCTTAGGTGTGGGTCATTTTATGTCAAATGTGTTAGCCACATGGAAGCTACTTGGTGGTTGATTAAATAATATCCCTCCGATTGCATTTGGAAGCTCAGAATGTGCCTTACTTTGGAAATATGTTTTTTTCAATGGTAACTAATTATGTTAAAATGAGATTATACTGGATTAGGGTCGGCCCTCATTGCCATGACTACGAATTAATTGCTGAGAAAAATCTCATTAATTTTTCTGTTTTAATGGTGCCCAATATCAAACAATATATCCACTTAAAGATATTATTTTTCTAACTTAACATTTCTGCTAAGATCCAGTCATTCAATAAATTCATATAGTCTGTGTTTAATGTCATGAAATTAACCCCCCTGCCTACTATTTAGTTAAACACAAGAGTTTTATATTACGATGTCCAGTGGTACTGTTGGGTTTAGCACCTGACTGCTAACATCCAGGTTGGCAATTCAAAACCACCAGCTGCCTCTTGGGTGAAAGATGAGACTATCTATCGGCTTCCATAGAGATTTCTAGACTTAGACACCCTGGAGCAGGTCACTTTGAGTCAGAATTGACTGTATGGCAGTGGGTGTTTTGGTTTTGTTTCTACTTCATGTTTAAAAAACTAAATTCTCTGCTTTACATTAGGAGTTTTTCTTACTAAGTCTTTGTGGAAATCTTTTTCAGTGTTCTAAAACTCATACAATTATTTTATGTTTTAGATAGCTATGGCATTTCTTGTTGAATTAGTAAGTGGCTGCTTAATTTGTTCTTTTCTATTCACAGGGAAATATTAATTCACAAATTGTACTTGGAAAAGGTAAGTGAACACTCTTTTTACGACACTTTGGACAGATGCTCGGGCATGCAGGGATCAGTGCTTCCTGACACCTCTCTTCTCTCTCTCCTAGTGGCTCACAGAGGCCTTCTGTAGTGTATTTTCCTTATTTGTCAGATTTAATCTTCTCTGGGTTTGAAGAATCCGATAATCTCCCTCATTAAATCCAGGCTTAAAAGTAAAAAAGCATTGGTTAAGGGCTCGAGTAAAGTTCACTTTTTAATGCATATACTATGTCATCAAAATACCAAAACCATTGCAAGTCAAAAGTATGAAGTATGAGCATGTGTAGAATTTTGGCTCAAGAAGACAAATTGTATGCTGTCACTTGAGAACCACAAAATAAGGCTATGGGAAGAGGTCGTATGGAAGATCATTAAGTGATGTGCTGAAACGTGTTATGTTGGGAGGAATCTTGCAACTTTTCCTTCTTTCTCCTGTTGTCTCAGCTATCTTTTCCTTTCTGCAGATGTTGACTTATGGGGTGGGGTGTGGGGGGGCCTCAAAAACTTTATGGAAAAATGGAATTGTAAGGCAATGCAATTTCCCTCTTCCAGAGGCCTCTTCCTGTAAGCTACGTCATTTCTATTGCAGCTTGAGGCCATTCTTAAAGACCTGTGCATACATTTATGACTACATTTTCAACATTTCTAAACACCCTGAGATGCATATCTGAGTTAGGAGAGCGGGGTCTCTGTGGAGAGCATCATACACTTGGGGCCTAGATAGTTTCCTAAATACAGACTATTATACTTGAGGCTCTCTAAAGTTTCCCATTGCGGTTAGTTGTTTTGCTTAGCAACACAGATAACATGGGACACCTTTGTGCTCCTTCTCTGCACAGATGAACAACCAGAGGTCGGGCAGACCGACGCAGCACATCCACCTGAAGGACTCAGTTACCAAGATTTTGTCAACCTGATGCCATCCGTGCAGGAAAAATCTCAGGAGGAGCTATCCATAAACACTAGTATCGTGAAAGAAACATGGTTGGACTACGACGACTTCTGCGTGTGCTTTCAGTAAGTGCAAACATTCTCTTAGATGCTCTGTGTATTCCGTCTGGAGAAATCCCTGGGACTTGACTTTGAGGAGGCCACGCCGTCTCCTTTGTATCTTTAACCCGAGGGCCTCATCTGAGGGCACTGTCTCTGCCAGTGTTCTTCCATTCCTGACATTTTCCATTTCTGGCAGTAGTTCCATGGCTCATGCCTCAGAAAGTGACGCCCACTCCTTCTGCATAGTTGGTGCTTAGTCTGTAAATGCTCCTGAGACCTGTTGACTGTGAGTGACCCTGCTTGGGTTTGAAATACTAGAGACTTTAGCTTCCAGGATCACAGCAACACACAAGCCACCACAGTAAGCCCTTTGTGTTGTTCAACAAGGGTGTTGGTTGCGAGCAAGTCGTTGATCTTGCACAATTCTACCAGGCGATCTCCACCTTCATTTCTGTCATCACCAAGATCATGTTTTCCAACTGTGGAAAATATTCCTCTTTCATTCCTCTTTTTCTCCAATTTTACATTCCATTCATCAGTGATTTTGTTTTGTTTTGTTTCATTTTGGTTGGTTCCAATGTTTATTTAGGGGGGAAGGCCCCCAGCCTGTGTCTGTCCAGTGGGGGCTCCAGCTTCTCACTTGGCCTTCTGGTTACCATCCAGCAAAGACATCCCTGTGTCCCCAAGAGCCGCCTTGATCCTCATAAGCTGGATGTACGTGGCCAGACACTCCGAGCGACTGGAGGCACCAACTTGATCTGTCCAGTGCCAAGTCCCACCACGGGTGTATCCTCAGTCTTCCTGGAGCGGGCACTCACCACCACCCCCTAGCTATTAGACTGAGCCAGTTGGCACTCCTGAATGGAGTCAGTCAGGGAGCCGATTTGGTTGGCCTTCAGCAGCAGGCAGTTGCGGGCCTTCTTCTCGACAGCCTGTGCAATCCTCTTGGGGTTGGGGACTGTGAGGTCATCCCCCACAATCTGGATGTCGACCCCCTTGAGGAATGAGGTCCAGGTGGCCCAGTCATCCTGATCAAAGGGATCTTCCATGGAGACAACAGGAGTGTTCTCCACGAAGCCCTTGTCCAGCTGCCCCAGTTTCTCCCCAGTAAAGTGCCGCATGGGGTCGTCGGGTGATGTGGAATGCAGGTCCTATTTCCTGTTGTGATAGAACTCGGAAGCTGCTACATCCATGCCAATCAAGACCTAGCCTGGGAGCCAGCAGCATGGATGGCCATCTTTAGCAGCTCCAGGGCTTCCTTGTTCTCCAGGCTGTTGGGTGCAAAGTCACCTTTGTCATCCACATTGGTGGCATCCTTCCCATACTTGGACTTGATGACCCCCTTGAGGTGATGCACCAATGTGCATCGCTTCCTTGAAGGAGCTGGCTGCCATGGGCAGGATCATGAACTTCTGCATGGTCAGCTTGTTTCCCATGTGGGAACCTCCACTGATTACATGGAAAGTAGGCACTGGGAGCACGAGGTCCGGCTCCCCGGCGAGGTCTGCAACATGGCGGTAGAAAGCAACCTCCTTCTCAGCTGCACCTGCTTTTCCCATGGCCAGGAACATGCCCAGGATGTCATTGGCCCCCAAATTGGACTTATTCTTGACCCCAGGAAGCTCAATCATAAACTGGTCCACTTTTTCTTTTCTTTTTTTTTGGTCCACTTTTTCTTGCTCAACAACACTTAGTTTCTTTTCCAGCAGAGTGGGACCTAATGTCTTGTTGACCTACAGTCTTCAGGACCCCTTTCCACAGGTAGTGTGATTTGTTTCCATCTCTCAGTTTTCGCTTTGTAGTTCCCTGTGGAAATTCCGTTAGGCCCAGCTGCTCGGAATCAGGCCTTAGCTGTGTACAGGTACACCTGAACAGCGGCATTGCCCCTGGAGTCCAAGATCTCCTGGGAAAAAAATTTCTGCATGATGTCTTCACTACAGGTTTTGGGTAATCTCGGAGTCAAGGTGGCAGATGGGACAGTGTCCCGCCAGTAATTATTAATGCTTCTTGATTGCATTTTGAATCAATTTCAGACTGAAGATGCTGGTAGAATTCTTCAATTTCTGCATGACCCACTTTAGTGGTTGGTGGTAAATTAGAATATTAATTGTATTGGCTGGATTTCCTTTTATGCCAATAGATATGATCCTATGAGAGACGCATCATACTTCAACATAGGTCTTGAAATGTCCTTTTGTCCAATGCATGCAACAGCATATCTCTTGAACCTGTTATTCCTAGCATAGTAAACCATGTGATTATTTTTTTATTCGAGAGTTCATATTAACCCAGTTCAGCTGACAAACACCTAGAATATCAATCTTTAGTCATTCCATTTACTTTTTGACCACTACCAATTTTCCTATATTTATACCTGTACAGTCCAAGTTCCGATGATTAATCAATGCTTGCAGTTGTTTCATCTCATTTTAAGTCATGCCCCATCCGCCAATAAAGGTCTCAAGGTCTTTCCTCCTGCTCTACTCCACCACATCATTATGGTTGACTCTACTTTGAGAAGGCGGCTCTTCTTCATTCATATTTTTCCACCCAAGGTCCTCATCTTCATGCAGTGTGTCTGACAATGTTCTTTTACTCATGAGATGTTCTGGATTTGGCAATATTTTGAGGCTATCCATAAGGATTTTAGTGGCTAGTTCCTCAGACAGTGGCAGTCTATTCCTTCTTCATAGTTTATTCCGAGGCTGGAAGTGCTGCTGAAACCTAATAACTTTGGGTGACACTGCCTGCATTTGAAAGACCAGTGACATCACTTCTAGAATCATAGCAGCACACAAGTTTGGCCATAAGCCAAACTGATAGACAGGAGGTGGAACACATAGTACTAGTCTGTTGAATATAATGACAATAACCTTTTATAAATTACTTTTTTTCAGGAATATATATATTTTCCACAAGCCAAATTCATATTGCTTCAACTTTCAGAAATCAGAATGTAAGGTAAATATATTTTATTTTGTTGTCTTTGCAAAGGTGTAAATATATCTTTCTCTAAGGAAATTCATAATTGAATTTTTTTGTAGGGTTCTAGGAGTGACAATGGTTTCGAGCTTCTCAAGAGTTTATAAACTTGTAGCAATTGTCTTTTAAAACCTCACATATGACGGTAATTATCTGATTTTGATGCCCACAACTTTTCTACCAGGTACACCTTATAAGAAGAGTTGAGAGGCTCTGAAGCTAAATTTCCTGGCTTTAAATCCAGGCCATATCTCCTCTATGTCAGAGTATGAGCAAGTCATTTTATTTGTCTTTGCTTCAATCTCTCATCTGTAAAGTGCACCAATAAGAGATGGGCACTGTGGCGTTAAGGAACAGCTGAAAGATTATATGGAGCACATTTAGAATGCTTGTTTCCTAGTAAGTGGAAAGGAACATTCCAGAATGAGAAACCACGCCCACTGCCATCGTGGTGATTCTGACTCACAGCAACCCTTTAGTACAGAGTAGAACTGTCCCTTTGGGTTTTGAGACTGTAAATGGGAGCCGAAATCCTCGTCTTCCTCCTGGAGAGAGGCTGCGGGCTTCAGTCTGCTGACCTGGCAGTCAGCAGGCCAACCTGGAACCACTGCACCTCAAGGTCTCGCTGTTGTTATTAGAGGCAGGGCTCTCGTATGTCGTTCTCATTCTCTCGCCCTCTCTCCCTCCCTCTCTCTCTCATCTGTATCTAGATAGAGATGGATGTCTGTGTGTGTGTGAGTGTGTGTGTGTGTGTGTGTTCCTGATCTTAATTCTGATCGTATGTTTATGAACTGATAACAAAAGTAGACTTTTTTCCTTTTTAACATTTCAGCTTGGTAACAGCAGCAACAACAAAAAGGTGACATCCCTCAACAAGTTTCTTTGTTCCCTTGAATTTTATTAAATTTTTTTTATAATAAGAAGACAACTCTCCCACCCCCAAAAGGGGAAACACACAAACAAAAAAAACCAACAAAGGTTTGTCCTTGGAAGAGACTGGAGCCCACGGCTGCTGGCTTAGCGGGTGGAAGGATCTGTCGTGGTCAAACGGAGGCAGCTACACAGGCAGCCGGGGGTTGGGAGGGAGCCTGAGTCATTTCCTCAGCCACAGCCCGGCCCTTTTCTGGGGTTGGGTGTGGCCATTACACATGAACATCTGTGGGGCCTTCAGGACCAACCAGCCTGAGCAATTTCATAGACTCTGAGTAATGACGGGAAGCAAGCTCTATGTAGATGCTCTTCCGTAGGCCTGCATACACACGGGGCTGGCTGCTCCTGGCTCCTTCAGACTTCCCAAGAGTGAGCATTTGGAACAACTATGTCTACCACTAAAAAGTACAGCAAATGGAATAATTCACCAAGTGGAACGTTGTGAGGGAAGCGATCCTTTTTAACAACCTTGCGTTATATTCAGCATTCCCGCAAGGTTGTACTTGTTTGAATAACAAGGTTTCCCTTTTGCATAACATGAGGTGTTTCTTTGACACCGATATTGAAATATGACAGTAACACAATGTGCAAAGCTTTACAAACGTGTTGCTGCTGCTGGGTGCCATCGACTTAATGCCGACTCCTGGGACAGACCGGATTGGCTCCCTAGGGTTTGCAAGGCAGGTGTCTCTTTGGAAGCCGACTTTCTTATCTTTTGCCCACCGAGTGGTTGGTGCGTTCAAACCGCTGAGCACTCAGTAGCCTCCAAGCACTTACCTACAATTAAAGTTACCTAGCGCCTTTATTGAATGCCATCAGTCAGAATTTGTTGAAACATTAAGGATGTGAGAAGCCAGGATAACTCAGTAGTCAGGAGTGCAGGCCTTGAGTCAGACACAAATACTTTTGTTTATATTTATTGTTGCATGTGTGAATTATGTGGGGTTTACATTTCAGACAATAACTTTTGTATTCCACAGCATTTTGTATGAAACTACTTGTCCAGCTTTCTCCTAGCTTGCCCTGCCCGCCTTTGGCTTCTCTTCTCAGGCTTACAGGGTACTCTCTTCCCTTCACCCAAGTTAGCGCCCATCCGCCCTCTAGCCTAATGCCCCCCAGCCCCACCATCAAGGATGGGGTCTTTTAGTACGAGAACCTCTATAACAGTGGCCTCGTAAAATAGTTGACCTTTTGTGAATGGTAAATTTCCCTCAGCATAATATTCCTCAAGTCCATTCATGCTGTGAGGTCACAGTGACAGTTTCATTAGCCTGTGGTAATGATGGTATTCCAGTGTGTGTGTGTGTGTGTGTGTGTGTGTGTGTGTGTGTGTGTGTGTGTGTGATACTTTGAATAGCAGCTTTGCTGCTTGCACACTGTATGGCCTTTGGCAAATTATTTGTCTCAAAAATCATTATTTGCCCATTACCTACAGAGGATGAGTTGAGGTCATGTATACGGAACCCTTACCAGGCTGTCCCCCCGGGGAAGTTCTGGCTTTGTCTCTGCAAGCACAGAGCCTGGCACACCATCCAACAGGGATGATATTTCTGAAGGTTGTGAGAAGAGGAAAGAGAGGATTTATGTCACCCCACTGACTATCTCGATCCTCCAGCAAGGTTACTCCACAGCCTCCCTATGTATCACAGACCCGCTCTGAGCAGGGCTCAGCTCTGTGGCCAGCCTCGTTTCTCATCTCATTTCCAGAACCACTACTTCCCTTTCTTCACTCACGAAGAAGAGCTTCTCATTCGAGCACCAGTCTGACTCCCAGGCCCTGCAGGCCCAGTGTCCACAGTGTAACTGTTGTAAGCTTTCACCCAGTGAGATTTTCTATCAGGGCACCTAAAACATAGCACGTGTTCTATGAATATTAGTCTTGTGACACAGTGTTTTTACAAGCAGGAACAATAGCGTTAATACATGTTACTGAGTCCGATGACTGGTTCAATGTGTTGCAGTTCTCAGATGAACGTGTGTCCTACTATATGTCTGTGGACAGTCTAAAACCGATTGAACTACTAGTGTGCCTTTCTGCTTTGGTCCGCTGGGGAGAATCCGGAGGTAAGGGGCAATGGGGAAATTACAGTCAGAAAACACCTCGCAGTAAGATCAGGGGAAATGGAATACTAAGGGATTTTAGGCTATGGATGAAGAAATTAACACGACCTCACACCATATCTTATTCTTCAGACATCAAGAATTACGCCCACTCTTGCTCCCCTAGCCTCCACCTCTTTGGCACACTTAGCCTTTCCATTTTGCTTTCAATCTATAAGAAACAAAGAAAGATTGTGTTGGGAGCAGAAATGCTGTCAGGGACCTCATGATAGAAATTTTCAAGACCAATAACTTATTCATTAAAAATGCCATTTTCAATAGCATAATTTTCAAGTATATACGTGGACCTCACTGGATGGAATTCACAGGGGAAAAATTGGCAACATTTGTGGAAAGACACAATAAGGAAGCTTAATACATTCAGTCAGAATAAGGACAGGGGCCATCTGTGAAGCAGAATATTAATAGCTAGTATGCGAACGCATAGTGGAGCTGAAGAAAATTAAAATAAGTGAACAAGAATAAGCTTGAGTACATCCTAATCGAAGTTAAAGAACATCTCAGGAACAAATTGGGCGCATTGATCACTAATGATTGAAGACCAGATGTGCTGTGGGATGACATCAAGGACCTCACACATGAAGAAATAAAAAAATTATTAGGAAGACAGCCATGACAGAAAACACAAAACTCTGACACTTTCTCTTTAACATGGAATTACTAAAATGAATGAAATAAAAAGATGAAGAAAATAGCTGGACAAAAGATATAAAAGAAAGTATTACAATTAATTATATAGACTTGAGAATAGAAAACCGAAAGGAAACATTTAACATTTTAAATGAAAGAACTGAAAAAAAAAATTCAAGCCAGCTTCCAGTTGCAATGTTGAAGGAATATATGGTCAAACTATTGAATGATTCAGGAAGCTGGAAGAGGGAAAGAATACTGAGTCACTGCACCAAAAAGAATTGCTTGATAGCCAGAAATTTCAGGAAGTAGCATGTTATAAAGAACCAGTGGTACTGAAAGAAGTGCATCAAGCTGCACTGAAGTATTGGCAAAAACAAGGCAGCAGGAATTTAAGGAATGCCAACTGGAATGTTCACCAAATGGTTTCACTGTTAGAAGCACTAACTAGTCCATGCCAAGAAATTTGGAAGAAAGGTACATGGCCAACCAACTGGAAGATATTGAGGTCTGTGTTCGTTCCAAATAAAAGTGATGCAAAAGGATGTGTAAATTGTTGAACAACCTAATTGTTATCACACTCAAGAGAAATGTTGCTGAAGATAATTGACAGAATGGTTGCAGCAGTATTTTGACAGAAATGCAATAAATCCAAATTGGATTCAGAAAAGTATGTGAAATGACAGGTATCATTGCTGATGTTAGATAGTTGGTTCGGCTTTCATAGAATAGCGGGAAGATGGTTGCCTATGTTTTATTAACTAATCAAAGATGTTCAATTGTGTGAATCATCACAAATTATGGATATTATTGTGAAGAATGGAAACTCAAGAATACTTCATTGTATTTATACAGAACCTGTAGAAAGACCAAGAGGAGGCAGTCATTCAAGAAGAACAAAGGCATACAAGATGTTTTAAAATAAGGAAATGTGTAAAAAGTGTTGTATACCTTCACTGTACTTAATTAATTTGAATGCTGAGCAAATAATCAGCAAAGTTGGACTATATGAAGAAGATTCATTAATCCTTTATTTGCTGATGATACGACCTTGTTGGCTGAAGGTTAAGAATACTTGAAATGTTTACTGATGAAGGTCAAACACTGCAGCCATAAGTATGGATTACATTTAAATATAAAGAAGAATCATCACAATGTTGCCAATAAGAAAAGTCATAATAAGTTAAGAAAACCCCGAAATTGTCAAGGATTGCATTTTGTTGGATCCACAATCAGCCCCTATGGAAGCAGCCAGCAAGAAATCAAAACACATAAATTTGCTCCCAAAACACATATGCCACTTTAAGGACTAAGGTGCACCTGACCCAAGCCAGGGTATTTTCCTTTGCCCCATATGCATGTGACAGCTGAGCCATGAGTAAGGAAGACTGCAGGGGAATTTGAATTCTGGTGTTGGCAAAGAATATTGCCAACATATTGAAAATACCATGGACCTCCAGAAGAACAAACATCTATCTTGGAAGGAGTAAAGTCGGAATGGGCCTTCGAAGGGAAGATGGTGAGGTTGTAGCCTTTGTACTTTGCATGTGTTGGCAGGAGAGATCTGTCCCTGGAAAAGGACACCTGCTTGGTAGAAAGTCAGAGTAAGAACCTCAAAAAGATGGATTGGCACAGTGGCTGCCACACTAGGCTCAGCCATAACAATTGCGAGGCTGGTGCAGGACCGGCAGGGTTCCCTTCTGTAGGGTCGGTCTGAATTAGAACCACCTGGAAGCCACCCAAAGGAAAGAAGTAAATCTGGCAGTTGAATTTATCTCCTGTCTCATCCTCACCAGACGACTCCCTTTCACCCCACTCGTTTGTTCCTGAGAGGTCATTGTTGTAACCAGTTCAGTTTCCTAGAATGATTTTTTCTAGTACATCACACAGTTGGATTCTTCATTTATACATTCATTCAAAAGTTTTCCCTGACAAATGTAACTGAAATGCCCCAAAGCTATAAAACGCACACACTCTCTCTCTCTCCTCTAATTCCTTGACCTGTTTTTCTTCTTTTATTTAAAGCATTTATCTCTAACACAAATTAACAATTTCTGGAATCTATTGTTTCATAACCATTTTAGAATATGTCTAATTTCCAAATTTTGAAATTTATTATTTTATTGGGTCAAAATGAGAGAAATATCAGAAAAGCAAGTTATACTTTCAAAATCAAATTTTAATTTTTTTTTTTAACTTTTCCCAAAGCTTTAACAAAAGACAGTCCTCACGTAGAGCCTGGACTACTCATGGCTGAAGAAATTTCTTGGAAATCTCTGAAGCCACGAAGCCTTGTTCTGAAGATTCATACTTATGCTACCAAGGCTGCCATGGTCCGTCTGCCTGTTGGGTATGTGGCGATGTTCTTTTCACATACTGAGAATTTATCGAGCCTGGTAAACTGTGACTACGAAGAATTAAACAATATGTCGCTAGGGTATTATTTGCCGAAGTGATTTCAGAAAGCATATCATTCTTGAGAAAAATACATTAACGACTAAATAGAAAAAATTCTGTATACTGAATTCCCTTTTGGAACACTCATAATTATCAGAAATTCTGTGAATAGTGTTTGAACAAATACTATTTAAACTTTTTTAACCCAACCTGTCCTAAAATTAATTTTTTAAGGAATCATTTTTGTTTACTTATCACTCTTTCACTCTTTTGGTATTTCTTAGAAGGAGCCATGGTTTTACCTAAGCACAGATTAAACAACCTAGCACTTTACCCTACCAATCTCTATGTTGTTAGTGTAAATATGTATATTCACTATATAGTAATATATATTACAATATATATCATTTTACCTGTAGCTTGTTTTTGTTAGAATTTATTTTCAATTTAGAGAAAATTGGTGAAAAACATCACATTTTTCACTCAAAATAAAATATGCATAATCAAAAGGCCTTTTTGATTAATAAAATTAAAAATATTATTACTTCATATTTCAGATGATGTAAGATTTTCACTAGATTAATTTTCAAAGGTCAAGTATACTTATTTTATTACCAAAGACAAAGTATGGCTGTTGTATAAAAGTAAAGCCTAAACAACAAAATAAAGTGCTAAAATACTGTATTTAATATCCGTAGAAAGTGATAGTTTAAAACCTTCAGCATTTCCTACCTCTGCTCTAAAATCTCTGACATGGTGAGAGTCTACTAGAAACCCATTACTTTGTCTGAGTGCTGGACGGTGGACATAACCAAACATACAGAAGTAATAGATTATATTTTATACTCACATTTCTAGCCAAAGGACCTAATCCATTAGCATGTGTTTTGAATGTACTCAATTTCCTAAACAACTGAGAGAAAACTAATGTCCTGGTTTTCAATTATGCTGCATGCTGGTACAGAGAAACAATGTTTCAGAAAGTGACTTTGAAATCCCTTAGAAAACTATTGTAGAAGGTAAACAATCTTTAATTGTTCTCCTCTTTGGTATGAGTGGTTGGTACATAAATTTTAATAATAGTCTTATTAACTGGTCTTCCTTATAAGCATATGAATATTGTCTAGCACTGACAGCCCCCATTTGTCAGCCAGTGTGACATTCTGTGGTGTCTGTGTGTTCCTGTGATGCTTGACGACATGGCACTGGTATTTCAAATAGGAAAAGGGTGACCCAAAGTGATCAGGTTTCAGCAGAGCTTCCAGACTAAGAAGAGATGATGAAGAAGGAATAGGCTGTCCCCTTGAGAGGAATTAGCCACTGAAAACCTTATGGATAGTATCCAGACATTGTCACATGTCAAACACCTCATGAATAGAAGCAGCACACTGTCAGAGTTAGAGCCATAAGATGAGCCCCTCAGGCCAGAAACCACTTAAAATATGACTGAGGAGGAGCAGCCTTCTCAAAGTGTCGCTGACTGTCCCGACATGGATGGAGGCAAGCCGGCAGGAGTAAATCCAGTGGGGTATTCATTTACTGATGGGGCATCATGCCAAATGGGGAGCAATAACCGCAGGTATAAATTAAGAATTTGAACTTGGAATGGACAAAGTACAACCATAGGGAAATGGAAAGCTGTCAAAAATGAAATGGAACGCATAAAGATCAATACACCAGGTGCCAGTGAACTGAAATGAATTTGTATTGGCCATTTCAAATCAGAAATGCATATGATTTGCTGTGCAAGGAATGTCGGATTAAGAGGAACGCTGTGGCATTCATGATCAAAAAGGACATTTCATGACCAATCTTGACGTATAATGCTGTTATTGGATAATATCTATCTGCATCGAGGAAATCCAATCAATGCAACTATGATTTAAATTTAGTTACCAACCACTGAAGCAGGTGGTTTAGAAGTTGAAGAATCTACCAACACCTTCAGGCTGAAATTGATCAAATATACAATCAATATGCATTGATAATTATTGACTATGGGAATGCAAAAGTTGGAAAAAAAGAGGAAGGATCAGTAATTGGAAAATATGGCCTTGCTGATAGAAATGAAAATCTGACCTTGAATATACCCCACCCAAATTTTGAGAACATTTCAAGAACAGATTTGATGCTGATGACAGGAGACTTGATGAGCTGTAGAATGACATCAAGAACATCATACATGAACACAGAAAAAGGGCATTAAAATACAAGAAAGGGAATAAAGATCAGCTTGGGCATCAGAAGAGACTCAGAAAAAGACTCTTAATCATAGAGTAGCCAAGATACATGGAAGAAATAAGTCAGAGTTGAACAGAAAAATTCAAAGGACAAATTCAAATATTATAATGAAAGGTGCACAGATCTAGAGTTAGAAAACCAGAAAGAAGAACATACTTAGCATATCTTAAACGGAAAGAACTGGAGAAAAAAACTTCCAAGGCTGAAGTTCAATCTTGAAAGATTCTCTGGGCAAAATAGTAAATGATGCAGGAATCATCAAAAGAAGATGGAAAGAATATACACAATCGTTATACCAAAAATAATTGTTGACCTTCCACAATTTCAAGAGATCGTATTATGAGTATGAATCAACGGTGCTGAAGGAAGAAGTCCAGCCTTCCCTGACAAGCATTAGCCCAACCCAAGTCTCTGGGAATGATGGGAAACAAATCGAAATATTTCAACAATCTGATGATGTGCTGGAATCACTCATTTATCAATGACAAGACATTTGAAAGATAGCTAATATAGCCATTTGACTGGATGCGATCCATATTTATACTCCTTGCCAAGGAAAGTGGCACAACAGAATGTACAAGTTATATACAGCAATATGATTGATATCATATGCAAGTAAACTTTTACTGAAGATCATCTAATGATGGCTACAGTGAGCTGCCAGCAGTTCAGGCTGGATTCAGAAGAGGATGTAGAACAAGGGATATTATGGCTGATGTCACATTGATCTTGGCTAGAAGTAGCGAATGCTAGAAAGATGTTTATTTGGGTTTGATTGTGCAAAAGGCATTCAGCTGTGTAGATCATAACAAATTATGAATAAAAATGGGAATTTCAGAACACTTCATTGTGCTCCTGAGGAACTTGTACATGAATCAAGAGACAATTGTGCAAGCAGAACAAGGGAAAACTACATGCTCAAAAATCAGGAAAGGTGTACATCAGAGTTGTACCCTGCCATTATACTTATTCAATTTGTGTGCTGAGCAAATCATCAGAGAAACTGGATTATACGAAGAAAAATGTGGCATCAAGATTAAAAGAAGGCTTATCAACAACCTGCAATATGCAGATGACACAATTTTGCTTGAAGCACTTGCTGTGATGGTCAAGAATTGCAGCCTTTAATATGGATTGCAACTCAATGTAAACAAAACCCAAATCCTCACAACTGGACCGATGGGTAACATGATAAACGGAGAAAAGACTAGAGTGGTCAAAGATTTTGTCTTGCTTGGATCCACAACCAATGCTCATAGAAACGGTAGTGAAGAAATCAAAAGACACTCCATTGGGTAAATCTACTGCACAAGACTCGAAAGTGTTGGAAAGCAAGAGTGTTACTTGAGGATTAAGGTATGCCTGACCTAAAGGTATTTTCAATTGCCTCACATTCATTTAAAAGTTGGATATGTAATAAGGAAGCCCAAAGAAAAATCAATACATTTGACCTATGGTATTGGTGAAGATTATTGAAGGACATGATGCTTGGTTAAATGGAGGAGGAAGAAGGCCCTTGACAAGATGGACCAACACAGTGGCTGCTGCAATGACCTCCAACACAATAGCCATTGTGAGCATGCTGCAAGCCCAGGTGGTTGCTTCGTTCTGTCGGCCATAGGGTTGCTATGAGTTGGAGCCTAACAGCAGCAGCAGCAGCACTGACAGCACTCTACTTCAGGATAGATCATGAGATGTTCTTTTTAACAATGAAGGAGAAGTCCTGCCTCTTCAGTTTGTGGTTCCTGGCATAGTTAACTATGTGGTTGTCTATTCAAAATGGTTCCAAAAAGCCCACCCCAGCACACTAATGTATAGGATATTCCTCTTTTTTTCCCATTTAAAAAATGATATATTTCTCTGGGCACATCTTGCTGCAAGAAACTTCTATAAAGTCCTAAAAGGCAAAGATGTCACTTTGATGATTCTGGTGCACATGACCCAAGCCCTGGTATTTCTTTTTTATTAATCTTTTTATTGGGAGCACTTACAGATATAGTAACAATCCATAATTCAATTAGATCAAGTATAATTATACAGTTGCTGCTACCATCAGTTTCAAACATTTTCTTTCTTCTTGAACTCCTTGATATCAGCTCCCCTTTATCCCCTCACTCCCCCAATGTTTCTCTCAGGAGCCCTCTTATTATATTAGATATTATTATTATTTTGGCATATCTTACATCATCCAGTGTATCCTTTCTTCTACAATCCTGTCATTCATTCCCCTCAAGTGGGGTTATCCAGTCATCTTTGCTATCCGTTCTCCCTTCCTCCTCTCCCCCACCCTTACCTTACCCTGAGGTACTTTTGAATGACCTCATAGGTGTGCTAAAGTTAAACAGTGAAAAAAACAAAATAGGTTTAAAAAATTGATATTTTCAAATCATGGTGTTGGCAAAGACTAATGTCCAGATGAACAAACAAGTAAATATTAGAAGAAAAGCATCCACAATGCTCGTTCTATTTTATTTTTAACAACTTCCAGTTTCCTTATATTCGTATTCATGCATTCTTATTTTTAATGGATATTTTCAGCTGTTTCTTCTCAACTTGAGTTGTACCACATCAGTGAATGAATGTCTCCAAAATGGCATTTCATCCACATCACTAAGATCAACTCGTAATTGGAGAACCCAGCCCTCCCCGAGTTAAAGTTCGAGTGTCTTTCCACCCAAGGGCCTGACGTCTGGTGCTAGGTCTAACAGCTGCCTGCTCCTGTTAATAAGGTTTTCAACGGCCCATTTTTTCATAATTGTGTCTCCAGTCCTCCTCGATATTCTGTCTTAATCTGGATGCTCCGCTGACACCCATCAGGTTGGCCCTGCTAGCGTTTGAAATGCCAGCAACATAGCTTCCAGCCTCACAGCAACGCACCAGTCGCCACAGTAGTACTGAGTGATAGACATGGGGTGCATGGAGCCTGTGCCTATAGCCATTACTGTTGTTGTTAGGGAAAAGGTCAAGACTCGTCTTTAACAGTATGCAAGAAATTTCTCTCTTGCAATGTTGGCATTTAGTGCAATTAACTTTATCCTACATAACTTTAAAAAATATAGCCTCCAGATCTCTCAAGGTTCTTTCAGGGTTAAAATTCTAAGAGCTTTATACCTGGTGTGTTAAAGGGTTCCATCCTTCAGGAATATTTGACTTAGTTTCAGGTCCATGTGATCGTTACCAGAGGCAAGTACTGCCACCAAGGAAATAGTCCGTCCTAACATAGTGTCCATTCTCTTTAGGAGACACATGCTGCTCTTCACTATCTACTCCCCGATTGGACATTACATACATGTCTGCAGCATGGTGACATTTGTTGTGGGAGATGAAGATGTGGTGCTACCCAACTTTGAGCCGGTAAATATTTTAGCAACAGAATGAAGAGGTTGTTTTTTTTCTTTCTTTTTTTTCCCCAACCATAAATACATAAATCATGAAAGTTTTATTTGTGTTCATTTCAAAATTCTTAGAATAAGCATATTGCTATTTTCTTCAATTTAGACAGTTCTTACATGTAAAAATATCAAGTATAGTCTATAAGAAATTCCCAAATGCCATTTATGTAAAAACAGTGTCAACTCTGTGAGGGATACAAATATGAGTTTCCTTTTCTGCAGCAACTGCCTTCACTTCTGCCCTGGTGAGTCCTCTTTCAGATCTACTGTCATCTCAGGCCGTTCCGCCTCTTGTTCTGAACTCCCCTTGAGCCGTCCCACTCGGGACGCCCAGTGCAAGAGAGGAGAACTGCCCACGGGGTTTTCTAGGCTGCAGTCTTTACGGTGACCCATGGCAGCAGGTCTTTGCTCCCATCCTCTTCTGGGGAGCAGCTAAGCCCTCACCGTTGCTGGCCAGGGCTACCCTGCTGACCCCTCAGGGAACTCCTGCCTTCTGGCATTGAGACTCAAAGACTCCATACACTTATTTTTAGTGCAATTGAACACGTGATCCCTTACACTCCTTTCCCTCTTTTCCCCTAAGGATAATGGAGTGGGTGTCTCTGGGACTCCGAGGGAGAGTCTGACCGGAAAGATTCTGACAGGTTCTCATCGCCTCTTTCTCTTCTTGGCATCTTAGTGCTTTCTCTTGCTTCTCGCCTTTGACAGGACCTGGAAGAAGAGATGGGCTCAGGGGGTCCAGCTTCTTCTCAGAACTCTTTCCCTCACGTTAGATGCCCTCTGGGTGGTGTGCGTATTTGGGGAACAAATTCACATAGGCTCTTCTCCCATATAATTCTTGGCCCACTTCTCCAACCTCCATCTTCAAGGACAGCTTTATGTGGGCAGATGCTCTTACTCTGCCAGCAAGCATCTTGGTCAGGGAAGCAACACGATGGGGCACCCTTGCACTGGGTTCACCTGGCCAAGACATGCTCCACCTCTGCACCCTCGCTTCTCTGGACAGAGGTCTCCATGGCAGCCTCCTCTCGCCTACTGACCCTCTACCTTCACCCCTTCTTTCCCTCCTGCTCAAAAGGCACAGAGGGAAGATAAGCAAGTGATGCAAATATTTAGGTGGCCCTCATTTTCTTAATTGTATTGATCCTGCTTGCTTTAAATTCTTGTCTTATCTTTGTCTAATAGTTCTATTTTAGATTTAGCACCTTATTCAACTTGTCATAATTGTTTAGGTTAATGAATTTCCCAAATGTTTACTGTGGTAATGTATCTCCCTGGGATTATCAGCTCATCTGTCTTGTGAAGAAGTAAGATGAAAGATTCAGGACCAGGTTCCAGTGCTCTTTGGTTCTAATATAGACCCCTGTTCTCTCCCCCAAAAAATATCTTACAAAAAAAGAGTACACAAACAGAGAGAGACCCTGGTCCTGTAGGATGTTACTGATCACTCGCAATGCTTCCACTTGACAAGAAAAAAAAAAATTCCTGGTGGTCATTTTATGGTAGGTTTCATAAAAGAAGCTTTCTCAGAGTCTATTGTGGGACCTGGTGTAATAATGGAGAAATAAATGTGTTAAGTTGCATCCATTTTCATCAGCTTTTGGCCCCAGCAGTGAATACATACTGCCCAAGCTTACCTGCTAGATCATTTCCCAAGATTTCTGTAGAGATTGCCCCATGTACCACCCCTCCACCCTACCCAAGGAGAAGCCAAAGTAGACGCCGTCACAGTTTCACTCTCCTCACCCTTCTTTGTGCAGCCTCCCACCACCCCTCTGCTCACAGCAACCTCACTCATACCCATCACATAGCTGTGGGGTTGTGCAGTGTCGTAGCAGATATTTGTTAGTTAGTATGATTTCAATGACTTCCTGAGATCCTTATTTCCTTCTCGATTTTACTATTTCTCCATGGTTGGTGGAGGTGAGATCCAGAAGGCCTTGCCTTTTTCTCTCATTCTGCTCAGCCATCCCCAGACCCCACACCCTTCTTGGCAGAGGACTTCCTGTTTCTCCTTAACCAAGCCTGGCTGTCCACAGTGCTGAAGAATCGTCCCTGGCCACGGAAAGGAAGACGCGGCACTGCTTTCCCTCTCCCTTGGTTCTCTTATGGAGCTTACTGCACAGGACCATTTACTTGTCTCCCCTCTACTGTGCTAGAGCAGGATTTCTTTCTTTTTCCTATCTCGGAGACCACAGCCCCTAGTAAAATACAACAGGTTCATAAAATAGTATCAGAAGTTGCCTTTTTTAAAAAAATCATTTTATTGAGGGCTCATACAACTCGTATCACAAGCCATACATACATACATACATTGTGTCAAGCACATTTGTACATTTGTTGCCACCATCATTCTCAAAACATGTGCTTTCTACTTGAGCCCTTGGTATCAGCTCCTCAGTTTCCCCCCTCTCTCCCCGCTCCCCTCTCTCTCGTGAACTCTTGATAATTTATA